ATCCTTCTTGTGAGATGAAAATGCAGTCCTCCATTTGCTTTACCTCTATCCCAAGATAGTAGGCCATGTGGCCGATATCCGTCATCTCAAATTCTTGAGCCATGACCTTCTTAAACTTAGTGATCATACTTTGATTATTTCCTGTAAATATAAGATCATCTACATACAAACAAACAAGCAAAATATCTCCTTTCTCATTTACCTTTGTATAAAGGGCATACTCGTAAGGGCATTTTGTGAAGTTATTTTCTAGAAAATACTTGTCAATTCTACTATTCCATGCCCTTGGAGCTTGTTTCAACCCATATAAAGCCTTTTTTAGTTTCAAGACTTTACCTTCATGTCCTTTTACTTTATAACCCATTGGTTACTCCACATAGATTTCTTCTTCGAGATAACCATTTAGAAAAGCTATTTCACGTTCATTTGAAATATCTTCCACTTATTTTGCGCTGCAAGAGAGATAATTAATCTTATGGTTTCTAAACGAGCAACAGGAGCAAATACCTCTTCATAATTAATTCCCGACCGTTGGTTGTAACCTTTGGCAACCAATCTTGCTTTGTATCTTTCTACGTCTCCTTTAGTGTTCTTCTTTGCCTTGTACACCTACTTAACTCCGATTGCTCTCTTTCCTTTGGGAAGAGTTGTCAGCTCCCACGTGTCATTTTGCTCTATAGCTTTAATCTCTTCATCCATAGCATCTCTCCATCTTTTATTTTGCACCGCGTCTTCATACCCTATTGGTTCACAATCGACAAAAAGACAAAAAAGTGTGAGATCATTTTGATTTTCGGTTACCTCATATAGCTCTTGTAGGCTCCTCATCCGTGGTGTCCTTTCGCTTGAACTTTCTCCTTGTGAAGATGATGGAGAAGCATTTCCATGAGTAGGTGATAGAGATGGACTAATAGTCTCTTGCTGCTCTCCATTTTTTTGTTCTTCTTCATAAAAGAATGGTAAGAAGTCATAGTCTTCTTCTTGGTCACCCCAATCCCAAGCTCCTTCTTCATCAAACTCGACATCTCTACTTATGGTGATCTTCTCATTTCTTGGATTATACAACTTGTAGCCTTTAGAGCGAGAGTTATAGCCGATGATGACATACCTTTCACTTTTGTCATCTAACTTGGACCGTTTTTGATCTGGTACATGAGCATATGCAATGCTCCCAAATACTCGTAAGTGAGAGATGCTGGGCTTTCTTCCACTCCATGCTTCTTGTGGTGTCTTATTCCACACACTTCTAGAAGGTGATCGATTAGACAGATACACGGCGCAATTAACAGCTTCAGCCCAAAGTTCTTTGGGCAATCTCTTACTTTTGAGTATGCAGCGGGTCATGTTAAGAATGCATCTATTCTTTCTTTCTGCTACTCCATTTTGTTGTGGAGAGTATGGAACCGTTACTGGACGATGAATTCCATTCTCCTCACAATATTTCTCAAACTTTTTGGAGGTGAACTCTCCTCCTCTATCCGATCTCAAAGCTTTTATACTATACCCGCTTTCTTTTTCAACAAGAGCTTTAAACTTCTTAAAAGTTTCAAAAACTTCCAATTTTTGTTTAAGAAAATAGACCCAAGTCTTTCTACTAAAATCATCAATAAAAAGAACAAAATAATTGCTCTTACCGAGAGAGCTTGGGTTAATTGGCCCACAAACATCGGAGTATACAAGTTCTAGCGGCTTCTTAGCTCTTGTAGATGCTTCTTTTGGAAAAATTTTTCTCGAATGCTTTCCAAGTAAGCATCCTTCACATAATTGATCCGCATGATTTATTGGAGGCAAACCTTTCACCATTTTCTTCTTACTTAACAAATTTAAGCCTCCAAAATTAAGATGCCCAAATCTCAAGTGCCAAAGCCAAGATGAATCTTTAAAACAAGCTTTTAAGCATTTAGCGACATCATTTTGAATGTTTAACGCAAACATTCTATTTCTTGTCATAGGGACTTTGGCAATCAAATTTTCTCTTTGATCTCTTATTGAAAGACTATGATCCTTCAAATGAATATCATAGCCATTCTCTAAGAGTTGTCCCAAACTTAAAATGTTATTCTTCATATTGGGCACATAATAGACATTTGAGATAAACTGATGCGTACCATTTTTTAAGCGGATCAAGATTTTATCTTTTCCTTTCACTGGGATCTTGGATTCATCTCCAAATGTAATGTTACCGCTTACTGATTCATCAAGCTCCACAAACATGTTTTTTCTTCCACACATATGGTTGCTTGCTCCTGTATCCAAATACCAAGTATTCTTTTCTCTGCTCTCTTCACCTTTGTAAGCCAATAGTAGTGCAGGATCTACTTCACTTTCCCGACAAGCGTAATTGGCTTTCTCCTCAACTTGGTTAGTAATATTTCTACATTCTGAAGCATAATGACCAAGTTTTTGACAGTTGTAACATTTAATTTGAAATTTGTCATACCTTGGTCCTTCATTTTTCCTCGTACCTTTTTCTCTTCCGCGACCTCTAGTAGAAAACGAACTTTGTCTTCTTTCCTCCTTGTAGAATGCAATTCTTCCTCGATCTTGGCCTCATCCTCTTCCTCTTTGGCTTCTTCTACTATTGAACCTTCCTTCACCCTCGTTCAAAGTGAGCTTTGTTTGAAGAGCTTGCTCTAATGGCTCTTCTTTCACTTTCTTCCTTAGTCTTTCCTCATGGGCTTGTAAAGATCCCATGAGTTGATCGACACTCATACTATCTAGATCTTTAGATTCCTCAATGGCTACAACTATGTAGTCAAATTTAGAATCTAAAGACCTAAGTATCTTCTCAATTACTCGAGTGTCATTCAACTTTTCTCTAATACTCTAGAGAAATAATCAGAAATTGATTCCGATTCTTTCATATGTAAAGCTTCAAACTCACCTCGAAGTGTTTAAAGTCGAACCTTTTTCACCTTCTCAACTCCTTTGTGGGAGTTTTGCAAGATCTCCCATACTTCCTTACTTGTAGTAGCACAAGCTACTTTCTCGAACATGCCTTCATCTAAGGCTTGATAGATGAGGGTGAGCGCCTTTTTGTCCTTCTTCCTTGCATCCTTCAAACTATCCCTTTGTGCTTGGGATAGAGCAACCTCGTCTTGTGGCTCCGTGTAACCTTTCTTTACGATCTCCCATGCATCTTGCGACCCGAGCAATGCTTTCATCCTTATACTCCAATTGTCGTAGTTATCCTTGTTGAGTTGGGGGACTTGAAAAGGAATCATCCCACTTGCCATTTCTTACAAGAACCTTGGGGCTCTGATACTAGTTTGTTGGAGGAAAGATGGGTTTACTAACTTGGATTGGCTAAGGCTTTTAAGAGGACAACACTAATAGGAAGAAGGAAGTGAAAAATGAAACTTGTATTTCTTAAATTCAAGACTTTACACACTTTTTGGCTTGTTACAAAATGAAGGGCACTACCCCTTTATACAGTGTTTACAAGAAGATTCTAGTCCACACATTTTCTAGAGACACCTAGACCACATATCAAGATATTTTCCTAGAATTCTCTAGATATTCTTTATAAAACTACATATCTTACTTAGATATTTACATAGATTTTTCTAGTAGATATTTATATAGATTTTTCTAGATAATGCTTCTAGAAACGCTATGCATGTTGGGCCTTTTAATTGATTTGGGCCTATAAGCAAAATCCTTAAGCCCATATTATTTAGTCCAAAAATCAAGTTTACTACTCAACATAAAAAGGGACAGAAAATGAAGATTTTTGAGCGATGCAGGAATTTGACCAGATAGATTGTTGCTAGAGAGGTCCAGTTTCTCCAAGTTAGTGAGATTAGCTATTGTGTCCGGAATGCTGCCAGAGAAATTGTTATTGCTGAGATCCAGAGCAACGTTAAACTTCAATTGACCAATCTCAATTGGGATGGTACCATTGATACCGTTATTCCTGAGGTATATAGCTGGTGGCAAGTTGGAGAGCTGGTTGGATTGCAGATTGGAGGCATTATTGGGCTGAACAAAGACAGTCAATTCTAAATAACTTTGCTCTACTTGATCCAAAGTCTGTTGTGTTGCTAGTCTTCTCAGTTTTATAAGTTCCATGGTGAAGTTTCCTGATAAAAGGTTTTGGGACAAATCCAAGTAGAAAAGGTTTGGAAGGTCCCCAAACCATCCCGGGACGGAGCCTGTGATGTTGTTAAGCGATAAATCTAGAACCTCTAGCTTATCTAGTCTAGACAGCCAAATTGGAATTAGACCCGCGAATCCACAGCCACCTAAACCCAGGACTTGAAGATTTTGGAACTCGCCAGTTCTTATCAAGTCTTCGTCTCCAGGCAGTGGTTCATTGTAAAAGTTTTTTGACAGGATTAAAGTGCTGAGGTTCTTGCACCCTATTAGGATGCGCATAGCATTAGTGATATTGTTTGGGCTATTATTAGGAAGGGATAAGAAGGATAGAAATTGTAATGCCATTATTTCAGGCAAAACCTTTCCATTAAAACTATTGGTAGCCATGCGAATTGCAATCAAATTCTTGCATAAGAAAGGCTTGATGGTAGTTGCCTCTGACGAAATTATTCCCGAGGTCAATTGATCTAAGCTGAATGAATTTGGAGAAATCAAAAGCAGAAAGTTCACCTTCAAGGAGCTTGACCTAAGTCGCACAATTTTTAAGAGATTAAGCCAGAGTTTTTTTATTTATGAGAAGCCACAACTGTTCCAAGTTGGAGAGCCTCCCAATATCTTGAGGAATCATTCCTGTCAATTCATTGGGAATGGCACCCGAAAGGTTGTTGAAACCTGCTCGTAGTCTCAATAAATTGTGACACTGGCCAAAATCGTGTGAAATTGGGCCTACAAAGTCATTTTTGGAGAAATCAAGACGCACAATTGAAGGCGAAAATCTGCTGACAGATGAAGGGATTGAACCAGAGAAGCTGTTATTGCTGGCATCAAATCTTTGCAAATTGAATAAAAGTAGAAGACAAGTTAACCGTTGTAGCTGAGCCTGAGACCCAAAAATAAATAAATAAAAAATAATAATAATAATAATATTTCACTTTTTTTTTTTTTTTTTAAAGAGTGGTTATTGTTGTAATTTTACCTAGGCCATTTAAGTAGATTAAACAATTATTTAAGATTGTGGTGTAACAAACAATTTTTTGTAGGAGTAATTTATTACCCTTAAGTTTATTATTTTGTAAATGAAATTATTAAAAAATTTAGTTCCTAAAAACAGGAAATTCGGTACTGACGGAATGGTATCGACAAAGGAGAGTAAGATTATAAAGTGTATTCGGCAGAGTGGTACTGAAAAGGGTGGAAGTTGGAAGGTGGAGGGCGGTAACACGATTATTTTGGTGGTGCCGATAATTATGATAGTTATGTATTTTTCCTTCAAAGAATATCCTACGTGGACTCCTACATATATATGTACATGTACAATTAACCTGTTGACCTACCCAATCAATTTTTTACTACACTATATAAACAATAAAAATAATAAATATTTTGTGAATGTTCAGTTTTGCATTTACCAAATATTCAGATTTTGATTTTGATTTTGATTTATTTATTGCTATTGCATTTTATTTAACATTGAGCGTGTGAATAAAAATACCAATTATCATAATGTGCAATAACTTATATTTTGCAAATAAATAAAATTATTTATAATCAATATATAAGAATTGACACTTTATACTTAAAGGTTGTAGTATTTATTATTTCAATATTCGGGTTTGCGATTTATCGTTATTGTAAAAACAGTTTAATGATAACACTAGTACACTAGGAGTGTATTGAATTTATCATGTGTCGAGCTTAATCCTAAAACGAGACTGTACAAAGAATTAAATTTAACTTGATCGTGGGGTGTTCAACGAACATCTTGGACAAAGTTGTAAATATCCATTCATGAGTTTAATAGTTCTTTGCTCTGTCAATGAGTGAGATCGATTTGATTGATCAATATGTCGGTGAGTTGGGAATTTAAAACGAGTGAAGTAGAGAACTCAAATTCACGTCGAGAACTGTCGCCTGGAAAAAGGAATTAATGACTATTTAAGTTTTTATTTTTTATTGAACAATTATATTTAGCGATGGCTATATTTCAACATCTATAATTTGTTCTCAAAACCATTGGAGAAAATGTTGCTTAATTCAATAAGAAAAATTGAAAAGGCAAAAAAGTTGTTCATGCCTGTAACTAATTATTGAATCGCGAATAGGATAAATTATATATATGGTATGTCAGAAGAAATATTGCACATATATTTCTGTTTCTGTAATGTTATATATTTCAAGAGTACAATTCTTTGCTTTTAGTGAAAAATAAAAAATAAAAAATGAAAGAGCGAATACTAATAATTGAATTTTGTAATCTAAGATTGATTAAACATGATTTAATTATTGGAACTTGGAATATATACGTACGAACAGGTCTTGTGGTAGCTTTTTAAAATTTTGAACTCAATTGTAAAGACTTTGAAAGTGATTAAAATTTTTGGACAATTAAATGATATATGACCGAATTAGACTTGACATAGATTAAACTACTTTGCCTACGTACAATACCCTAGGGACTGTATATAGTGGGGAGGGAGAGAGAGAGAGAGAGAGAGAGAGAGAGAGAGAGAGAGAGAGAGAGACCAAATTAATTTTTTGTTGTCTGATGTCTCAATATTTTCTTGGTCCGCCTAGTGTAGAAATAGGTTTTTGATTTAATTGAAAAGATGTCTACACCTCGATATAGTATTTAATTTTGAGAATCCTATAAAAGATTCAAAGGTTGGGAATGTCATGATTTTGAATTAAAACTTGAAATTTCTTGAATTAAAAAGTCGAAAGTTCGTGAATTCGAATTCAATCAAGAAACTGATAATCGGATTTTAAGTATACTTTAAATCTCTCTCTTTTTATTATAATATAAACGTGATTATTATTAGCATTTGAACTCACAAAAATTTCAAACCTGCTAGCAGTGCCAGGATGAAGCTAATTCCATAACCTATCTCAAAGCTAAGCCAATTAAAGAATTTTCTCTTTGTTCCTTTCTGAAGGGTAGTTTCTGATTGACCACTGCAAGAGTGGGGCAAAAATTCACCACATAAACCTGGATTTCCTTCAAAGCTTGAATTGGGAAATGTCTCAAACTGGCCTCCAACGGGTATATGACCCTCAAGATCGTTGTAGGCAACATTGAAAGAAGACAGAAAATGAAGATTCTTGAATGATGCAGGAATTTGACCAGAAAGATGGTTGCCAGAGAGGTCCAGCTTTTCCAAGTTGGTGAGATTAGATATTATGTCAGGAATGCTGCCAGAGAAATTGTTGTTGCTGAGATCCAGGAAAAAGATAAACTTCAACTGCCCAATCTCAGTTGGGATGGTACCACTGATAATGTTACTCCCGAGGTTTATCGCTAGTCGCAGGTAAGAGAGCTTAGTGTATTGCAGACTGGAGGCGTAATTATACTTACGAAAGATAGGAAACTCTAAATAACTTTGGTCTACTTGATCTGTACTCAGTTTCGTGGTGAGTCTTCTCAGTCCTGCGAGTTCCACCGGGAAGTATCCTGAGAGAAGATTGTGGGACAAATGTAATACGAAAAGGTTTGGAAGATCGCCAAGCCAAGCCGGAATGGAGCCTGTGATGTTGTTAAGCGATAGGTTTAGAACCTCCAGCTTTCTTAATTTAGATAACCACATTGAAATTTGACCAGTGAGTCTACAGCCACCTAGAGCCAGGAATTGGAGATTTTGGAACCCATCAGATCCTATCAAACTATCATCGTCAGGCAATGACTCATCGAAAAAAATTTGTGAGAGTAATAATATTCTGAGGTTCTTGCACCCTTGTAAGATTTGTATTGCACTTGTGATATTGTTTAGGCAGTTCCCAGAAAGGGATAAGAAAGACAGAGATGGTAACCCCATAATGCCAGGCGAAATCTCACCATTTAGTTTATTGTGGGCCAGGCGAATTGCAGTCAGTTTGTTGCATGAATAAAGGCTTGCTGGCAATCCACCATTGAATGAATTATTCCCCAGGTCAACTGACCTAAGCTGAATGAATTTCGAGAAATCGAATGCAGAAAGTTCACCTTCAAGGAAGTTGAAACTTAAATCCAGCATCACAAGTCTTGTACAGTTTGCAAGAGATGGGGGCAGAGTGCCATTTAGTAGATTTTTACGAAGGAACAATTTTTCCAGGTTGGAAAGCCGCCCAATATCTTGAGGAATGGTTCCTGTCAATTTATTATCATAGAGTGAAAGGCTTCTAAGGTTAATGAGGTTAACAAGGATTCCATTGATCGGACCAGAGAGCCTATTGGCAGACAAGTACAGTTCTTGCAGTGATGAAACTTTGTAGATATCGCTGGGAACATCTCCAGATAGATTATTGACATCTGCTCGTAGAGACTGCAAATCGGAACACTGGCCAAAATCTTCGGAAATCGGACCAAGAAAGAGATTTCGTGAGAAATCAAGATGCTGGATTGAGGAGGAAAATTCACAGATAGACGAAGGAATTGGCCCGGAGAAGCTGTTGTTGCTGACATTAAAGCTTTTCAAATTCACCGCCTGCTCGAAAAATGCATATTGGATTGTTCCCTGGAAGTGGTTACTGGATAAATTCACTGTTTTGACTGTACTCATCAGCTTATCAAAATCCGACAACTTTCCAGTTAGACGATTTTCGCTCAAATCAACGACAACGAGGCGTTTGAAGGCCATAAAAAATCCGTCTGGAATAGGACCTGATAGCCTATTTTGCGAGAGATTGAATTGAGAGAGATGGCTGAGGTTTGCAAGAGAAGGAGATATGCTTCCAGCAAGTCCTCTTGATGGCAGCAACAGATGGATTACCCAATTAATATTATCACAACTGACACCTTCCCACATGCAACAATCTATGGAGGAATACCAATTCAAAGGATTGGAACTGTAGACACCAAAGGAGAAGGCTAGAAGGGAGTCACGGTCAACTTTTCTGCATGTAGCTTGGCAGGGAATCATAAAGCTAAAAAGTTGTGTAAATAGAACTAAAAACAGTAAATTATGAAAGAGGGAACCGAAAGAGAAGGCATTGGAATTGTCAAGTTGTTTTGTCATTGTGATATTTTGAGAGAGATTGGAGTGGATAAACTTTTAATGACAATGTAAATTCAGGAGGTATTTGCTTTATATACACGAATATGCGTGTTGGGTGTGTTGATTGGTACGACGACTTTGGTGTGTAAATTAAGTTAATTTGTACGACGCGGTTTGTTGAATTCTGCTTCTTAACTTTATCAATAGCTATAATAATAAGATTTATATTTTTTTTGTTATAATTTTTTCTACGACTTTTTATCAATAGCATTTTAAAATTTTTGGTGGGAATTAAAATTAGATTTTTTAGTAGATTGTGAAGAAGTTTTTGAAATGTGTGATTGACAAGTTGTGCGACTCATGATAAATGTGACTAATATTAATTGTTCAAGTTTGAGTTATATTAAAATTAGATTTTGATCCAAACCAAATTGGTAAACAGGGTTAAGTTTGCAGGAAATTTCTAGATTTTAAGTAGTAATGAAATAAAATTCAATTCACAGTCTATCATTAAGGTAATACTTTTTTCATTATAAAAAGTCAAGATGTGTATCCGTGTGGGCCACTGCTGTTACTACTATTACTAATATTAATATTTGTGGATGCATAATTGAGAAATGAGAAAAATAAAATATTTTAATTGTCCAGTTTCGGTAAAGCCAAATTTAAAAGTGACCACCGACTAAGTTTCTAGAGAATAAACTTTGATCGAATGATTTTCATTGAAAGTTGTGAAAAGCAAAATCTACAGTTTTATGGGCAACACTGCACTAAATAATGAGTTATGATAAACTAATAATACAAAAAAGTGAGAAAAACAAAGGAGTCTAGGGTTACTACATTAATTGAACTAATGAAAATACAAGAAAAGGGAAACTTTAAATAATCTTACAAGTAGATAAATATAATGACTAATCTACCCTTAATATAAAATTAATATATTTAACATCTCCCTTCAAACTCATGATGCTGCTGCTGCTGCAAGAAGCATCAAGAATTTGCCAAACAGAAAATGAAATCGCGAAATGGAATGTGACGTCGTAAATAACTCAACAATCTGCATAGTAGAAGAAACAAAAGGTAACGTTATAGTGCCAAGATGATAATGATGTCGAGTGACATGACAATCAATCTCAATATGCTTCGTCCTCTCATGAAATACTGAATTGCGTATAATTTGAATAGCACTCTTATTATCACAGTACAAAGAAGTAGATCGACTAAGAAATATACCCATATCTACAAGCAACCAATGTAATCAAACTATCTCATAAGTAGTAGAGCCATGGCATGATATTCTGTTTCCGTGGAAGATCTAGAAACAGTAATTTGTTTCTTGCTCTTCTAAGAAATAAGAGAGTCACCAAGAAAGATACAAAAGCTAGTGGTAGATTGACGATATGTAGGATCACTAAACCAATCAACATCACAATATGCTTGTAATTCTAATGAAGAAGTAGAGGAAAGTAAAAGACTCTAAAACCGAGTGTCCTAAAGATACCTCAAGATATAAAGAATAGCAGCCCAATGAATTGTAGTAGGCGAGGTAACAAAATGACTAACTACATGAACAACGTGTGCAATATCTAGACGAGTGATGGTAAGATAAATCAAGCTACCAACAATAGTACGATATAAACTAGGATCTGATAATGAAGAACCATCAGAAGAAGAATATCTAGCATTAAACTCAAGAGGTGTGTCAACAGTCTTGTTATCAGTATGACAAGCACGCTCAAATATATCAGCTATGTACTTAGACTGAGAAAGAAGATAACCTTTCGGGGATGATGCAACTTCAATACCCAAAAAGTAATGA